TGATACAAGGAATGACACACATGGTCAAAAGGCAAAACAGCATTAATATTATAAGAAAAAGAGTCTTGATTTTCAATAGCAGTTGCCACCACGGTCCAGCGGTAAGCCATGAGAACAGGCCTCCCTGTCCCAGGCGTGCATTCTGCTGCATTCCTTTCCTTATCTCTTTGGGCTGAGCTAACGCTTGACTCACAGTGTGACCATCTCTGGTCTCATCAAGGATGTAGGTGCAACAGGTCTCATTCAGAAGAGTGCAAACTCCCCCGGACGGGGCCTTTACCAAATTCAACACCATCCCGTTTTGCAGTACCACTGTGTGGAGTGCTGTTACTTCCATGGACATTCCTGTAAGAGCTTTATCAGAGGCATTAACAAATAACCCTAACCTATAATCTATGGTTTCCTGTTGATCTATGTTTAAACTCGTCAGGGACATCTGTTCCTGCCCAACTATCATGTGGTTTGACTTGAATGAGTTCTCTCTTAATTCTCAACATAATTAGAAACAGGAGTAGTGACATTTAACTTTTCGAAAGTTGTGAAATTACAGGTGTGAAATTTAGTAAAGTGTACTCTCAGTAACAAACAAAAATTCTCACTGTTTCCTTCAAGGCTCTGCCGAATGAAAGACCTCCTCTGGTGTTGGCACTGATCTGGCTGTTAGTCTAGGTTGGCTGGAAGAAATAGGAAGTCTGCAGCATACATAACAATCCGAGACATTTCTTTTTTTAGCAGTGACTTTCACATATTGGTATCATATATTTGTTTCATATACATGTGCTATATCTTGATAAAAGATTTCATGGAATCCATCATCGATCCACCTTTTGACCTTTTTGCTGGGGCTCTGTTCATCAAACAAAACTAATTATGCTAAGGTACAAAAAACAGCTATGATTAATTGCTTCAGTAACATTTTTCAAACTTTTTTTTTTAATCTTCAGGTGTTACCAATCAATCACTTACCTCCACCAAGGCCAAGGAGGGATAGTTGGTTTCTTCACTGACATTGAGACGAAGCAACTCTAAACGATTACAACCCCTTTGTAGTCAGACTTTATCACCTCCTAGCTGTTGGGAGAAAGTATTGACTGACTCATCTTCTTACAATGTACTTTATGTATCCAAGTAGCTCTTTCCTGGATTTTCACAGCAGTGGGAGTTGTAAAACCACCAGTCTCCTTCCTTCACATCTGAGGAGGTCTGTGGGTTGTCAAAAACATCATTTGGTAGATTATTTGCACTTTGTATTTCTCTAGATTTTAATGTTTTTCTCATATAATCTGCCAACTTTCTTACTGGTTGTGGGTCTTTTAGTTCTTTCTCCAAATCAGGAATGTAATAGGGTCTGCTATGTATTATTTCATTTCATTTTATTATGTTTTAAAAATGTCAAAAATGATGCACAAAAATTTTTGAATAAGTATTGAAGCCATACATGGTAAATTGTTTGTTTACTAGCCTATCATCTCCCTCCTGTTGAGACATGGCTTTGCCTATGGCTCACATTTCCAGCCCAGTGGAACATTGATTTAGGTAATATTGCCTTTCCTTCAGGGCAGCTAGTAATCCCTTCACATTTACACTCAGTTAATTTAGCTGGTAACAGCACAGCATCTAATAATGTCAGTAATAACTCTGCATTTTTCCATTGTGCTGCCAATTATACCTTTTATTTCTTTCCATACATAATATGTGCCGTCCAAGATGTTAATAAGACTTGTATGCTGTCCTGATAGATAGGGTTAAATAAAATTAAATTGGATCTATCCTACAAATGTTTCTGTTTTGCCATGTTAAAGCTGCTCTCTTTTAATCATCTGGTTCCAGAACAATTTTTGTGATATTCATCAGCCAGATTATAACGGCTCTGAATGATCTATTCTAATCTAGCTTTATTTAGATGTATCTATTCTAAACTAGCTTTTTTTAATGCAGTAAGTCCCCATTTAAGAATGAGGTCACTATTTTTGTTAGTTGCTATTATTTTAATAATGCTTGGTTTAGTTTAGGTTTCATTAGTTCTGAAAAAAACTCACTCAGGCTTAATAAAATTGATGAACCCAAAAATGAAGGGCATGTTATGTCTTATAAGCTTAGTTTGTCTTACCCAGTTTTAGAAACACACAGTACAGTTTCAGTCAGCTATAGTGCTTCCATTTTAATTACACTTTGTATTTATTTCAAGTAACTAAATGTAGCCAGGGAAATATTTCACCTCGCAGGACACAATAACTGGGGTTCTTAATGTGCAGTATGTTTTTAATTTTCAACTGAGAACAGATTAAACAAAGCTGTCTTGTCTCTTATCTTTTGTTCAACCAGAACATATACCTGTAACAACCTTTAGGCAACCAAAGATGAAATGTGGCAAATCTCTTAACAGAGTAAGTGCACAAAATAAAAAAAGTCGTTGTGCTTTTCGCCAAGGAAGAAGTCCCAAAAGATGGTCAGTGACTCTAAGACATGAAGAGTTGCTTTTACCAACACTTTGGGGCTTAAATCTCAAAACCCTCCAATGTAAATATATTACCTAATTTGATGTTTGTATAACTGTGATGCGAAAAGAGATTTTGCAAGGAAATAAATGTCCACAAAGCTCAATTAGCAAGATAATATTTGTATTCTGGTTGACATATAGCAGTACCTAGTAAACCAGTTGATGGTAATGACAAACCATGAGACTTTTTGAAAGTATGAACAGCGTGGAGACACAGTTTGCGTTTAAGAATGACATGTGTAGGGTAAAGGTGAATTCTTCCATGCCAGGGGAGCCATTTGAACATTTTTCAACGCAACACAAAAGAGCTTCTAACATTCTCATTTAATTTCTGCATTGACCCTCATGCTTATACGGTATAGTTAATACACTGAACGTTAAGAGTTGTGGAAGGCAAGTGCGAGCAATTGATCTACCCATTCGGAAGATGGAGCACTTGGGTATGTGCCACTTATTAGTAGTTGAGCCAGCTGACCGATATGTATGGTGTTTTGGTCGCAGATATTTAGGCTGTGCATGGCTGTGAAACTGACTTGGAAGGAGAGCCCAGGTTGCACTGTGCTACCTAGATCGTATCTAAAGTCACCTGGTCTGTTTTAATGTAGGGTTTTGCAGTTGCCAGTACAAACTCTTTGCTCTTCTTGTTTTCTCCTCAAGAGTGCCATTTATTGTTGACATGTTGACGGACAACCGAGTGTTGATCTGGACAGTCGGCCTTTCTGGGTCATACCATGTACATCTGGGTAGGTTGTTAAATTTCTTTCATGTACATGCAGGGGAGCCTTTTGAACATTTTTCAACGTAACACACCAGAGCTTCTTATATTCTAATATCATTTCTGCATTGAGCCTCATGATTATATGCTATAGTTGATACATTGAACTTTAAGAGTTGTTGATTTCAAGTGTGAGCAATTGATCTACCCATTCAGAAGATGGAGCACCTGGGTATATGCCACTTGTTAGTCGTTGGCCCACCTGGCTGATATTTATAGTGTTTTGGTCGCTGATATTTAGGCTGTGCATGGATGTGAAACTGACTTGGAAGGAGAGCCCAGACTGTACTGTAGATGCTACCTAGATCGTATCTAAAGTCACCTGGTCCGTTTTAATGTAGGTTTTTGCAGTTGTCAGTACAAACTCTTTGCTTTCCTTGTCTTGTTCTCAAGAGTGCCATTAATTCTGGACATGTTGACAGAACAATGAGTGTTAGTTTGGACAGCTGGCTTCTCTGGGTAATGGTAGGTACATCTGAGTAGGCTGTAATTTTTTTTATGTACATGTTTAAAATAACCTTGCTGCATGACATCTAACAACTATGCCACTCAGCTTTGCTTTTTGAAACACGTCTGTTCTTCAACAGCGCTTGGGCGTCTGTGTACCGTGTTCTCAATGACTGCTTCTTTAAGGTGTGCTGCCCCAGTGGCCTAATGGATAAGGCACTGGCCTCCTAAGCCAGTGATTGTGGGTGTGAGTTCAATCTGAGGTGAGAGCAGAGTGGCGCAGCGGAAGCGTGCTGGGCCCATAACCCAGAGGTCGATGGATCGAAACCATCCTCTGCTATCTGTTGTTTGTTTACAAAGATCTCAGGGCTTTGGATTTAACCCTGATCAAATGACAGAGACTAGTCATGCCTTTCCCTGCTCAGGAAGTGGTTCTGCTGTGCATTGACAGCATCTCTATGCTTCTACCCTTGGTAGAGCATGTGCACTCGTAGGTCCACTGGAACGCATCATTGCCCCATCTTGTCTTTGTGCTTTTTGCCAAGGAAGAAATCTTTCCGCTCTTTGAGGAAACCAAAAATGCTTGCAACGGCCGGATTTTTCACAGGACCTTAAGATGGTCAGCTACTCTTAAGACATGAAAAGTTCCTTTTACCAGTACTTTGTGGTTTAAATCTCAAATTCTCCCTTGTAAGTATCTTACTTCATTTGATGTTTGTGTAATTGTGAAACTGACTTGGAAGAAGAGCGCAGGCTGTACTGTAGATGCTACCTAGATCACATCCAAAGTCACCGGGTCCGTTTTAATGTAGGTTTTTGCAGTTGTCAGTACAAACTCTTTGCTTTTCTTGTTTTCTCTTCAAGAGTGCCATTTATTGTTGACATGTTGACGGACAACCGAGTGTTGATCTGGACAGTCGGCCTTTCTGGGTCATACCATGTACATCTGGGTAGGTTGTTAAATTTCTTTCATGTACATGCAGGGGAGCCTTTTGAACATTTTTTGGATAGCTGGCTTTTCTGGGTAATGCTAGGTACATCTGAGTAGGCTGTAATTTTTTTTATGTACATGTTTAAAATAACCTGGCTGCATGACATCTAACAACTATGCCACTCAGCTTTGCTTTTTGAAACACGTCTGTTCTTCAACAGCGCTTGGGCGTCTGTGTACCGTGTTCTCAATGACTGCTTCTTTAAGGTGTGCTGCCCCAGTGGCCTAATGGATAAGGCACTGGCCTCCTAAGCCAGTGATTGTGGGTGTGAGTGCAATCTGAGGTGAGAGCAGAGTGGCGCAGCGGAAATGTGCTGGGCCCCTAACCCAGAGGGTGATGGATTGAAACCATCCTGTTCCGAGGCTACCGCCCCCTGCTGGCGGTCAGACACCTCTTAGCTCCTCCGGTACTTGTTCCCCATGAAGCGATCACACACTCTATCAAAAGACTCTTAAAGGAACGACTCTCAACCAGTTTTAACTTTTAGCCCTTTTTATTCTAGGTTAAGGCAGAGGAATGATTACAGAGATCAGCGCTGAGGCTCCCGTCTCGGACCGTCGACGTCTGTTAGAGCATGACGAAGAGCCCCGATAGAAGGTCACATGCAGTTTTATATCTGGCAATCCAATGCAATGGATATGCTCTCCCTCAGTGATTATCAGTAGACTATGTGTCACCATTGTGGTGTCTATCTGTTAGATTGTAGTAGCGGGTGTCCATACTTAATCTAAGTGTGATGTAGCTTTCTAAACAAACCAGTAATATCAGCTGCTCCACTATCTACCCCAGTGCCCCAGCTTCAGGTCATTTATGACAATCCCTGGGTCATCTGTCCTTGTACTGTATGTCTATGAGCATTCTTATCCTATTGTAACAGAAGGGAAACATTAGAACTTATACTTTACTTCACTACTGCATAAAAGGGAAAAAACAGCTATGAGCCTATTAATAAAGGTTATTCCTAACAACCCCCCTGATGAGGTGTCATTTAAAGGCACCTCACTAATTTAGATCAGTGAACCCCCTAGGCACTGGGTAGTGGACCACCTGCAACTGGGTACCCACCCCCCGAAACAATCATTCAACCCTGTATGTGTGTGTTAA